AAGGTGCTTTTGTAGAGGAAAGTGCTGTAGATATGTTAGATTGTATTGTTAGAACATGTTTCACAATTTTAAAATCCCTAAGGCCCCCAAAAGTCTACTTGGATGTGACCAGCTTCACATGATGCATCTATAAAGATGGCACTTACTTTTTTATTTCCTCCTAGTGGAACTGATTTTATTTTAGTTGCTATTAAAAGTTCAAATCAAGGTCCATAGGATCTGATCACTATAAAGGACAATATCTTATTATGGACCATAAACAGAAAAACATGAACATTTCTGAGAGTAATTAATCCCTTGCACCCTCAGAAATGGCCTTCCACTTTAGTAAATAGATTTGAAAAAGAGACCAGTTTGGAGTAAATAGATCCATTCTTGGGTTGCTTTCAAATATCTAGTTTCTACTTTCTTTATTAAATTATTTATTTATTCTAATTTGTTATACACGATGGCAGAATGCAATTCATTTCATATTACACATATAGAGCACAATTTTTCAAGTCACTGATTGTATTTTCACACCATTCATATTTTCATATATGTACTTAGGGTAATGATGTCTAACTCATTCTACCATCATTCCTTTTTTTGACAGTGTCGTTTCAAGGGAGTGAACTTGATTGTGTGTGCATTGCTGTGGGTATGTTGTGATTCCTGTTAGTGTTCTGCTTCCCTACTACACTAGGGGATTTGGATATTGTGTCTGCTCTCAAAGAACCTTCAAAGAGCAACTGTGGAAGATTTGAATGTTATCTGAGAAATACTTATCAGACAACAGGAAAACATAGAAACTAGTGTCCTCAGAAGGTAAAGTGCTAGCTACTCTCTTCTGGAACTTTCCTTTTCCTCACACCTCAGAATGAATATCCATTCTAGAAAATGTAACAGAGAGAAGACACTTTTGCTTCAGGGGTCTGCACATATATTCTTGCAGTTGCAGACTGTTTTCCTGGAGGTTTCCCTTCTTCTGTATGAATAATCCATAATAGGGCTGATTTACCAAACCAAACAGGATGTGGTTGAGAGGCCAACTGTTTTGTGCTCCTCTGAAATAAGTGGAGGCATAAATAATCTAGTACAATTTTTTTTCCACAAATGACAATGCCCTCAAATTTGAGGAGCAGTGGAGTTGCAGTCTGAGTTGGTTTGTCAAATCTATTTCTAAAGTCACTGGAGGGTGTGGAAATCGATTAGTCCCTGGTGCCATTTTGATTTCTCTGGATCAAAAAGTTCACATCCCACCCAGGCATTGTGTCTCTTGTTTTGTTTTGTTTTGTTTTTTTGTCTCCTGGCATTTTAATCAGGGAAAAGTCACAGTTATTTGGAGGAAAGCACTCCCAAGAGCTTTAATTAAAGCTGGAAGGATGAATCCGTTTACAGTGTGGTGACCACTATCATTAATAAAACATTGGAATAATTAACGAATTAAATTCTGCTTTGGATGTGAATGGCTACATTTAGGATCTCTGAGGATATGTCTTCTGAACAGTTAGAGTATGCTATGCATTTAGGTTTTAGAGAAGAAAAGAAAGAACTGAGCCTGCATTTTTCTGAGATTCATAGTATCATAGACTGCTAGAACTTGGAGTGAAGGCTACATTATCTTTATTTTATAGGAAACAAAACTCAGTTTCCATGAGTTTAATGGCATGGGCTCCAATAATGTACTTAAGAAGAGTTTTTATTGCACCGTGGGTACACTGAGTCTTTATTCTGAATCTTAGATTGTTTAACTAGAAACAACGAAATAGAAAAAAAAAATTAATAACATAAACAGCTTTAGGACACAGGATAGAATACTCTGGGGGCAAAATGAGCAAGTTTTACAGGGTGATCAACTCTGTTCATTGACAAGAGTTTTGTAGTCACTCAGGACATAAGGTGGCCTTCTAAGCAGGATGTGGCCATGTGTAAACCTTCAGATTGGGACTTCCCTTCGAGTCCCTTCATACCGAACGCCTGGCTCCTGGGCTTGTTTTTAAGCTTCCTGGCAGACAACAGATCTCACAGGAAGCACCAATGTGGACATTCAGATCCACAGCTAATGAGGCATTGTTTTTTTATGTCACTCAGTAATTTCCTAGAGAAAACAATGGGAACCAAAGACTGTTCCTGTCTTGAAGGAAAGTCAGCTTCCAACGTTACCTTATATTAATTTAACACATGCAAGTATTTGTCCTTGTTGTTGCTACAGCAACAATCTTTGTGGGGTATACTTCATGCAAAATGGGAAAAGGCTGGAAAAGAAAACAAATGTCATCTGCATACTTCTGTGCATAAAAATAGAAATGTATGTGTGCTAACATTCCTGTGATTAGAGGTATGTGCTTCTTGCCCTCAGTCTAAATTATACTGTAGTACTTGTTGGTTAATTTCTAAAACATCTATCCAATGCAAACAACCAGCCAGCCACTTCCAAGGAGCTTCAGAAAAACTGGAAACACATGAAATTATTCATAATTAGGTGATCGGTGGATGATAACAGTTCCTTATGTACACAGACACAACAAGCATGTCAATGAAGCCACTAAGCCCCAAAGGGAAATGAAGATAATTTTAACACAAGGTGAATCAGAAGCTAAGCTTTTGTGATGGTTGCTCCTCAGAACAACCAAGGAGCAAGATCCCTACCTTCTAGATTTAGAAAGGGTCAGCACCCAACCCATCTCAGTGTGAGACTTTCCAGCTTAAGGAAAAGCATAGAGTATATCCAAAGATATACTTGAATTTGTAAGAGTGGTAACGAATGATAAAGATACTGCACAATCTCATTTAAAGAAACACGCATTGGAGTCCAATCAATCTTGTTTCCAAATGCTGTCATCATCTGTGACCTTGAACTTTCACTAATTTCTCTGAATCTCAGTGTCCTCGTTTTTATGATGGGGATAATTACATTCCCTACCCAGGACTGTGGTGAGGATTAAATAAAAAAAAATATGTCAAGTACGTAGCACATATCAGGCCACATAATAAGCTCTCAATAAATGGTAAGTGGTCTGTGAATGGTACAATTGCCATTCAAGCTGTTCAGCAAGCATTCCCCTCTCTGTTCCCTGCAGCACATGTCAAGCTGTGCCTTCTTGCTGCCCCTTGGTTAAGTATGGCTAAGTAATGTGCTTTGGCAATGATACGTGGAAGTGCTCTGTGAGGGAACCTCAAGAGCCAGCATGATTGTCCACACCTTCTTTCTCCTCCTGCCTTGGTGGCAGCACCATTTCAGAGGATGTCAGCTCCCTCAGCCTGGGTGGCAGGGTGAGAAGATGTGGAGCAGACCTCCAGCTGGCCCAGTGCTGGAATAGCACAAGCAAGAAGTAAACCTTCATTTTGGAGGTATTTGGGTTACCTCACTTCTCCTGACCATGCTATTCTGTGAACAGAAAGAGTTGGATGCATCGAGATTTTTTTTTTCTTCTGCAGCAATCTAAAATTGTGCCTAACTCTGAAGAATGATGTAAAATCCTGTCCTCTTGACAAATGCTTTGTGAAAGCCCATTTGGTCTCCATGTTTCTACAGGTATAGAATTGCCTTGCACAGAAGAATTGCTACAGTTGCAATTTCAGAACTCTTGCAAGACCAGTGGCCCTACATTATTGAGCGCTCTCAGCATTACCAAGAATAGGACTACATTACCATGCAAACATGCTTAGCACTGCAAAATGTAAGCTTTCCTCTAGAGGCACATCTGTCAATCATACTGAACTGCTTGTTGGTTTGGAGATGTGGAAAAACAAGTTACCAAGAGCTATTTGACAGAGGCAAATTCATTTTGTTTCTGGCTTAATCTAGAGCCCGATTCAGCAACCCCAAGTCTCATCTTTTCTCACCCTCTCCACATTTCTCAGTGTTATCATTTAGAGGTTAGCGTGAGTTCAGTCTCCTATAATAGGCTATTTCATTTTAAGTGTATGTTAAACTAATATTGACCTTTCCAAAGTAAAACAAAATCTGGTATTTGTGCTCAAAAGACTGAAATAGCAATAGATGTGGAAAGGAGAGGATAAATCATCTTGGTTTTTTTTTTCTTGCTTAGAAACTCTCTCTGAGAATTAGTCATTTTTATATATCTGGCATGAATGTAAGACAGGCTCTGGATACTCTCCTGGATAGGAAACCTGGATCCTTCAGCAAATACCTTTTTGTATAATTCACAGTTTAACCCAAAGATCCAGATACATAATGCACGTTTCATTTGAAAGTGGGTGAAAAACTCAAGAATGTGTACATCAGGACTTAGTAGGAACATCCAGATGTCAAATCTGGGCAAGATCAGGTATTGGGGATGGCACTGGGGATGAGAATGGGGTAGGTTAGGTTGCTAGAAAATGGTGACAATGGATGGGAAGGGGGAAGATGAGGAGGGATCAGTGGGGTATATAGTTGTGGCAGGGAAGGCCATGTCAGAGCAAAGTTAGAAAAGCAGAAGCAACATCATGAATGAGGTCACCTATATACAGTCCATACATATACATGAATAATAACTAACAGAGAGCTGAGCCCTCAATTAAACCCCTTCTTGGGCGTGTGCTCCATAGACCTATGTGAAAAATGCAATGCAGCCCTACTTTCCCTTCTTGAGCTCTGAACAACCAGAAAACCCTAAGGTTGGAAACAGTAATTTCATGCACAGCTACAAGTAGAATGTATATATTTCATCAAGGGAATCAGAATATGTCAAAATAGGAAATGTGAGGAAAGTATATAGTCGCTGGAAAAAGATCAGATCTTTTAGTCGTTATCAGCCATCTGTACTGAAACTGTGTGAAGAGCAGTGTATGAGGATCTGGGAAGGTCAGTGGATTTTCAGGGGGCTTTCTGAGCATGCCCTCCTGACTGTGTAGTGAGGGATCATTCTGCAGGGTTTTGCCTAGGGCCTTTCCCATCTCTTCTCATCTGAAGGCACTTTACCTGATATTGCTTCTATTCAGCAGCTTTTCAAGGCAACTGGAACCATCCATCCTCTACCCTAGTTAGCTAGGCCAGGTCTTGTGCTACATACCTGTATCCACTCTCTGTAGGAATCTTCCCCAGGAGTCCACCCATTCTCAGGGTAGTTCAGGCGGGAGCGCTCTGCAGACCAGTTGGTGCTATACTGGGAAGAAGCTGTGATTTGGTCAGAATGGATCTCTCCTGATTCCATGCCTAGAGCTTCCATACATTTGAAATCTGGAGGGAAAAAAAAATGTGACCCAAAGTCATCAAAACATAAGGGATCAAAGTGCAATTTTCTTTTGAATCTGGCAAACTAAAGAGTTCATTCACTCAGAGTTTTACAAAAAGTTAGCAGCAAAGAACTTAATAAAATATAGCATTGATACATGTATTTTCATAGGCATCATTTAAAAATAAGGCCATGAATATCATCACAGTGATTAATGATTTTCTCAAGTAGGTCTAGGTTGACAAAAATAATATTTGAAAGACATTAGGAAAGGGTGAAGATTCTGATTTATTTCCAACGTTGAATCTGCATGCATGTGTGCTGTGCGTCTGTCAGACAAGTATATATCAAAAACTGTATTTAAATAAAATTTTAGTTTGGATTATTTTCTCTAATTATCTTGAAAATTTGAAAAAGACTCTATGTCTATTTGCAATTCATATTCAGTAGACAGTAGACTGGAAGTCCCTTGTCTTTCAGACTCCTGGCAATTGGCACCTCGGCCACCTCTCCCTGACTCCTTTTGTTCTCATGCCCCTTGATCCTGGAATGGTCATAATTATTAACATTCTTAGTTATTTTATTAAAACATAAAAGTATCCATTAGGGCTAAACTACAGCATCATATGGCCCAAAGAACATCACAGTTTTATAACATAAAATAATAATGCTCACATCAATGACCACAAATCATCAAAATGTGTATTCCATTAGGCCTCGCATATTTAATGATATTGGGAAGAAAGTAATCAATTTTAGAAAAATTCCAATTCAAAAGTGGAAAGCACACAAAGCTTTATGATTTAAATGGAAGTTTCTCAACCATCCAGAAAATTCCAGTTTCATAGTTTGAATTTTAAATCCCCAAAGGTTGATGTATGAAAGGCTTGGTTCCCAGGGAGGTGTTATTGGGAAGTGGTAGAACCTTTAAGAGGTGGGGCCTGGTGGGAGGTCTTTAGGTCATTTGGGATGTGCCCTCAAAGAGGATTATAGAACCCTGATCTCTTTTCTACTCTCTTGCTTCCTGAACATGAGGGGAGTGGCTGTTCTCTACCATGCACTCCTGCCATGATGTACCATGATGTACTATCTCACTACAGTCCCCAAAGCAACATAATAAACAAGTATGGATTGGAACCTCTAAAACTCTTTACAATCTATTTATAATTTTGGTCTCTTTATATCTCAGGGATTTTTGACCATAAGGAAAAGCAGACTAACATAGTAAGGTAGACTAACATATCAAGGTTTTGTATTGTCTGAATTTTCTAACCTAATAGATAAGGTTTTATGACATAAAAAAAAATTCCCCACTGGTTTCATACATTAAAGTTAGGTTCACTATTTGTAATATAAACAATATTTATTGGCACATAATAGCTCAACTAATTAGTCAAATTAAGTACAAATTAGATATTCAAATGTTATTGGTCATTTTATTTTCTAGTAAGATCTTGTTGAGAAGATACTAGCATCTCTGGAATAGGTCTCCAAATACCCTATGTCCTCTCAGTAAATGACTTGGTGGCCAGAACTGATGAAATACGAAAATGTAACTTTGTTCTTCCAATTTTGTTCTCAGACTCTAAAAAGAGGTGGAAACCACCTAAACTTTGAGAAAGGGTTGAGTTAGTTGAGTACTTTAATAGGATATAAAAATGTTACTTTCTTGTTTTGATCGCAAGGCATTAACAAAATATAAAATGCGCTGCTTTTACATGAATATCTCCTTTTACTCAGGTAAGAAAGAAAATAGAATGGCTTCCCTCAGGGTCCTTCACAACCAACTGCCACACACTATTCACTCTGTGACTGTTCCGCTCATCAACTACCTCCTATTTGTCCTTATCATCTGGGATCCAAGCCTTTCCTTTTATGATTCTTAGTCTATTATTCATGTGAGGGTGTCAGGGAGGTGGTCTGGTCATATTTCATTGTTTTGAGGCACTCTTTTGCCATTTTCCACTTCTTACCACAATTTCAGAGTCTCATCCACAATTTTATGGAGAGAGCACACCAAATAGTTTTTCCTGTTGATATTCACACAAACACACATACAAAAAATTTTTAAAGAGAAAAACAAACACTTAGCACCCCAGTTCACAAAACATAGCTTTAGCGTTTCATGTGGCCGCAGGTGTGTGAAGACGAATAACAGGGAATATTTACCACAGGGCTTTGCAAGATGAATAATACTGACCTTCTGAGACACTGCTCTGCAAGACACTGTAGTTTGCTGAGAAGCCTTCTTTTGCTATTGCACTGTCAGTATAAAAAACCATGGATAGAATGCCCGATGAGGAACGAATCCGACCTGGTGTTTTCTGTCCACAGTAACGCCCAATGTGAGGGCCAACTGGAAAGGCAGAAATATAGATAATGTCAAAGTGTCTTTTCTTCTACAGCAGATGTAAAAATAACCATTTACAAACATGGGTCCCAGCAGAATCCAGAAGTCTATTCTAACCCAAAGCAAGTCTTCCCTAGTTAATTGGTTTGCAGTGAACATATTGGATCAGGTTTGCAGAGAGGATTTTAAAGTGTACTCAAAAGGGCAGTAACAGGCATAACCACATTCCCCAGTGAGCAGGATCATTTTCAGGAACAGAATCGAAATGCTTGCTTCAATTGCAAAGAATGAGATTTGGGCTGTCAAGTGGCACCTTGGCATTCATTTCCAGGGCCAAGTTGTAGGCACAGCCCAGCACTGAGAGACTCCAGCTAGACTGTGCTCACTGAGTTCTCTTGGATTTGCCTGTCCTCACTTCTCCGTCCTTGGAGGAGATCCTCTGACAGACCTATGTCCTGAAAAACAGAGCAATACAAGGGGTCTGCTCTAGGACTGTGAAAGCCCAATTTCCTTCCTCATTCCATTTTTCAGCCCTGGAGTCTAAATATAATCCACATCATAGACTTAGGTGAAAGACAAAGGATCATGTTCTACTCAGGACTGCATTTGAAGACCAAAAAATAATTGCTATGATTTAAACATTTAAAAACTATAGATGCTAATGATTTATACATAATAGTAAGTTATAATCAAACTGAATGGAAATTGCGCCATTGTAGCTTGTTTTATTTTCTCTTCCAAGCCTAAGAGAAGTGACTACATTTTACTGTCTGGTGGCCAAGAAATGGCCCAAAGCAGCCATTTGAGTATGCACAACAGGAGAAAAAGTGTACCTGAGGCAATGGACAATCTAGAACATTGACAAATGCGTATTAAAGTCAAAAATTGTTATTTGGCTTAAGCTGGTCACACCTTTGTTAAAGTGCTTTAGACAAACCTTGGCAATGAGTGATTATAAGTTTCCTCATGAATAATGCAGAAGTCCCTTGTACTAGGAGAATATTTCCATCTCCCTGCCCAGTTCAGCAGCAAGACAAAAAAAAAAAAACAAAAACAAAACAAAAAAAAACTTTCTCTCTAGGTTTTTTTCATTGCACATATGGTAAAAAAACACACCAGATGGTTTGGACTTAGAAGGACAATCTGGTATGGACTGTTTTCCCCTCCCAGAAATACATGGTTCTATGCATTTCAACTAAGAATTATTGCTTCATTTAAGAAAGCACAGTAGGTGGATATTTCCCTGGGGGAACAGGCCTTCAAGGGGGCATAGTGATCCAAGGCCTGTGTATGCAACTCGGATGCACAGGACAGCTGATAAGAGCTGGGGGATGTTTCAAGTGTGATTGCAAAAGCAAACCCCACAAGAACCCATCTTCCTGGGGCCCAGTGTACCAACTGAGTTCTTAATGGGCAGCTAACCCAAACACTTTCCTTTTTGGAATGTGTAGATCTTTTGCTGATATTTTTGCAGCTCAACCAGTTCTCTTAAAATAAGCAAACTCCCTACCCCTAACAAAAGAAAAACTAAACTAAACTAAACTAATCTGAAGTGGTTCATATCTTTGAGTTCCTGCAAAATAGTTATATTGAATCCCTGAAAATGTTTCTATGCATTCAAAGTAATTAATATGTCTGAATTCAAAGACTGTTTCTTTCTCTGAAATCCTCTCTGATAACCAAATGTCTTGTGTATACAGAATGCTTTACCATGAAAAAAAAAAAAAGAAAACAATAACAGAGGGTCACCCAATGAAGGGGACTGATAACAAATATGTGAGGAGCATCACTGTCATGGACAATCACTTTGCATTATGGGAAGAGAATTTTGTTAAATCAGGCTTCCCAGTTCTCAGAAAAAGTATCTCTAAAAGATAAAACTTACTGTCTTTTGCTTCTTTTCAGGTAAACCTCGGCCTCAAATTCTTCTACAAATGCTAATTTTTGCTAGCTTTGATTCATTCTGGATGTGGTCCTATCATGAATCCAATATATTTTTCCTTCCCTGAGGACTTCCATGTTGCCCATAACATATCCAGGAAAATATCCTGCTAAGGCCACAAACTCAGGTCTTTCCTTCCCTCAAATAGAATCCCACTTCTTGTCTGTAATTATAAATGGGAGCTTAGAGTCTATTCATCCTCCCTCACATTTTTCCCTCATTTAAATTCCATTAGTGTGGTTTCATAATCTTTTTCTTTAGTTTGTGGGCAAACTTTTAAAGCCCTAATCCTCAGGGTTGTTTTCTGATCACTACAGCCACTGACCTTCTCAAGAATATGGCAAGGGAGGCCGTGAACATCCCAAGGAAGTTCTGATGGCTGATCCTCCCCCTCCACTATCACCCCATTCCTTTGGGGAGGGTGGAAGGGGGAGTCTCTTTGAAAGAGGAAACAGAAGAGAACTTGTCTAATGCAGACTCATAATTTAGAGAGTCTCCATGACTCACTGGTTTATAATGTTTAAGACATGCTGGGTAAATCTGCCTTCTGTCCTTTAGAACATTGCCCCCAGACAGCAGCATGCAACTCTCTTTAGGAGCCCTCAAGATAAGAGAGTGAAAGGCTTTTGCCACGATAATACAAAGAGGTATTGAATTTTCCTGAACAACAGCGAGACCTTAGCCTAGCAAGCTAATGCAATATTGATCTGAACCAGAGTGGGTGAAGTACTCTTATCCGGCTCGTGTGTGTGCTCATTTGTGTATGTACATGAACGCAGCTATTGGATTTCCTCTTTGTTACCAGGGACCTAAAGGCCAAGGAGATGAATGAAAACTCTCACAAAAACCATAAGGATAATTCAAAAATTGAATTATAGAAGAATGTAGGCAGGCAAGATGCACCAAGCTATCATTTGGAGGAGAACAGAACTAGAAGGTATAAAATTAATAGAGTATTGGTGATGTTTAAAAGATCCACTGGCAACAGGGGGTGGCAATAGCACACTGTTTTTGTTTGTCTGTTTATTTTTGTTTGTATTTTTCCCAATAATTTCTACAATAATTACAACCCTATCTTAGAACCAAGATAATTTGGCTTTCTACTGCTTTCTAATGAGGGGGTGGGGGGAGCAAAGATTGACTGTGATATCATCCTTTGAAATGAAATATTTTGAATAAATAAAAAAGGGAATCATTTTGAAGGCACAAGATAGGCCATCTACGCCTTACTTAAACTAAGAAATCTTTTGATGGAAAATATCTACAGTACTAACAATAAATTTTGGAACTTACACTCAATAGCATATTCATGTTTATCCCTGTGGTTTAGAAGGTTAATTTAAAGGTAAAAGTAAATAAAAAACAAAACTTCCCTTCTTCCTTTTATGAGACTTATTCCTGAGATGGTTGATTATTTGGGGAGGTAGGTAACAATGGCAGTTCTGTCCATAGGGACATCAGCTTAGGTGGAAGGTTGACTGCATCTGCCCCCAAGCGCTGTGAGCTAACAAGTCCTGTGAACTAAGCATTCATCTCTTGCTCCAACATTCAGCACAGGCTCCTGCAATGTCCACCAGGGCAGCATGTCTACTGTTGGCTCAAACCATATGTAAACTTCCACCAATGCCTCCAGAGTAGTTACTTGAGAATCCATAGAGTTTCAAAGACAGAGATAGATGGAGATGTGTGATTGACAACATGCATGCCTTGAATTTTGAGTTTTGGAGTAAACTGTTTTTCTTCAAAGCCAATTTGAATCAATGGATAGCTTTCAATTACTTAGTCATTTAATTCACTGTTTATGATAAAGTGCAACATAAAATCACTTGATGGTTAAAAGCCTTCAGCGCCTTCTGCTTGTTGTTTTTGGAAAAGATATCAAAGACTAACAGCAATTTTGTTGGCAGAGGAAGTGTGTGTGTTGAACTACTATGACAAAATGTTTCTAGTGACACATAAACCACAGGAGGACAATTTCTCATTTTGCCTAAAAAAAGAGCTGTTATGCAGGTGTAGCTGGATGAGGCCAGGTAAACAGTAACAAAGATACAGACATTTTTTCATAGTCCAAAGCCAGTTTCCCCAGGAATAAGTGAGAAACACACCATATTTCAAAACATGGGTGAATTGCAAGGCTGATGATTCTTATTGTTCATTGTTCTTTGCTTCAACTCAGTGATTTTCTAGAGCCAGAAAATTACTACTTTGGAAAACCCTTGACACTAATAACAATGTGCTTCTTTCTGAAAATATTCTAAATAAGTTGGTTGATTGGACCTTCTCTTCAGATGTCAATTTAAATGAAAGTTCTAGAAAGGAAGGATGCAAACTTGGGTTATGAACAAATAAACCCATTATTAAGTGTCCCAACTATTGTTACAACATTATTATAATATTGTTTTCCTAATTATCATATTGCATACTTGGAAATCAGTCAGTACTGTTTAGAAAAAAAAAAGTCTCATTACTTAATGAAGTAATTGCTAAGATCATCAAAAACCTATTTATAGATAAAAGACCAAAGAAGATATTAAACTAGGGTTTACTCACCCATTTACACCAATGAATATAAGGCATCTCTAAAATCAGTTGTTCTCTAATGCAATTTACAGATAAAATTACTTATAATTGTAATGTTATTTCAAAGACCAAGGCAATCTCTTTCTCATTCTACTTGTTCCATTTTTTAAAAAAAATTATATATTTTATATATATTTTAAATATAATTTTATATATATTTTTAGTTGTTGATGGACCTTTATTTTTATTTATTTATTTATATGTGGTGCTGAGAATTGAACCAAGTACCTCACGCATGCTAGGCAAGTGCTTAGCCACAACTCCAGCCCCTCTATATGTTCTTTTTTTTTTACAACTTATTCTAACAATTTTTCCTTCTACTTGAGAATAACTCCAATTCTGTTTCATAAATGGTTATAATTCTCTAGTTGAATGACCACTAAGAACTTCCAAGTTGTCCTTTCTGATCTGTGTAGTGTGTGTGCACTGGAGAAATCTTAATATTAAACCAGAGCTAATCACAAGACAAGCAATGCAGCTGCAACACATTATTTGATGCTACCTCCCTCCATTCAGAATTTGGGTATATATTTTTGCCATTCAATCTTCCAATTCACTAGGATTGAATGGTTAAAAAAAAAAAAAACCTTTCATTAGATGTCCACATGGATAGTTTCCCCTATGTCCTTCAAATATTTAATGCTCAAGTGTTACTTTCTTGATATGGCTTAATCTGACCACCCTATTTAAAGTTTTAACCTTTACTTCCTCCTCCCCTAACTTCTCATCCTTTCATTCTGCTCTGTTTTTCCCTTGTCCTTTTGAGCTATTATGAGAAAAAAAGATCCCTGTATCTCTCTCCCTTCCTCTGGCCTTCCTTCCTGCCGTGGTGTTTGACAGTGACATCTCTCTCCTTCCCTCTCCCCTCTCTCTCCTTCTTGGTTTGTGATACCACTTGTCCACTTCTAACATCCCATGCACATATCACTTTATTTCTACTGGGCACTGTTTATTGTCTGACTCCCTCTGGAGGAATATGAACTCCACAAGGGCAGCCATCTTTGATTGTTTTGCTTATCAAGTGGCTAGAACAGTGGGCCTAATACAGAGCAGGTGTTTAATCAATATTTTTTAGATGTAGGAAATAATTCAGATGATAGGAGAAAAGAATATAAATGATAGATCGTAGTGACTCAAATTGCCAAAGATGAAAATTCCTTAAATAGCAAGTGTGGAATCTATCTACATGAGGAATGCCCAAATCATCTCTTTCTCTTCCTAAATGTCTAAAAATAATTTAAATTCGTATTTAACTTCTCTGATTCTTAGTCTGTTGTTTTTTTTTTTTTTTTTGTAAAACAAGTGGTTTTATTTCAGTGCTCTCTGACAGTTTATGAATTAATTACCAGTAGGCAGGACAGTGAAATGAGCAAAATGATTTAGTCGGGAAATGTATGTGTTGATCTCTGCTCTAAAGACCTTGAATAATCCTTCATGGCCTCAGCTTCCTTATCTATAAAATGAAGGATTTGCACAGATAATTGCTAAGGTCTTTCTGAGATAAAATACTTCATCTCTGGCTCAGTGGAGAGCTGCCATTTTGCTTTGTTTTCCCTTGTCCTTTTGAGCTATTATGGAAAAAAAAAAAGATGCATGTATCATGACACTTGTAAAAGAATCCCCATACCCTTCCCCCAGGTCTTTCCTCTTTGGGGAATGCTTCGTACTGATCTTGGCTCTTACCATCAGGGAATCCATCCCAGATTTCTAGTCGGTCATAGCGACAGAACATCCCCCCTGGAGGATTTGAGTCAGGCTCTAGGTCAAAGCTTTCAAATTCCAGGATAATCTCGGACATCTTTGGTGCAAAGATAATATAAGTGCATTCAAGGCCGTTTGGATATTTTTCAGGGAATCCAGGGGACTTTATCACTCCACTAGATGTTGTGTAGTTCTGGGAACATTCAGGACCTATGAATAAACGAGAAAAAAAAAGGAGGAGAGTGAAAATCCCACTTAAATAACTTCACTGAGAAATAACCTGGGCAAAGACAGAATATTTTTCTAATGAAAGCCCACCATTATAATCACTCTCCTAATCATGCATTACTCAGCCTTTTCATATTAGTGATAGGTATGGCAAGTCAAATTCAGATTTATTGTGTTCTCCTTAGTTTTCCATTTATGTGGAGCAATTTAAAGCCTTCTGCTGTTGCAGGAGGAAAAAAAATGACAAATATAAAATCATGTGGGAACAATGAATGAGTAAGCTGCAGAAATCTCGACAGAGCCCTAGAGAAATAATTATAGCCCCTTCAAGCTTAAATCTTTAAATCTTGAGGCTGACAGCCCTTTATTGGTGAAATAGAACATTTACAAAGGCGAGGGAGAGAATTCTGCAGAGGGAGTTTGGGTTTCAGATTCCTACACCAGTGACTCAGTAACTCTGCCAGATGTGACCTATGCCTCTTTGACAAACTAAATGTGAAAGGTAATTCGTACATGTACCCAGGGCGAGTGACTCATTCTGAGTGGTGTTGACACAGGTGTGCTGGTAACGTGTGGCTGTTAGTGAGGGCACGATAAACTGTGATTACAGGCCACGGTGCTGGAAGTCAGTCACCTGATATCAATGTCGACATCCTAACCTTCCCCAAAGTATCAGCTACAGTACAGTATACCTTTCTAAAACTGCATGTTAATGGAGGTATGTGTATAATGTGTGTGTACTTATACGTATAATGTGTGTGTATGTACATATTTGTAATGTGTAATTTTAATGACCTTTCAATATTATAAAGACTTTACCAATTATGGTGACTTGTAATTGAAAATGATCAAGAGCATTCATACATAGTACAGGTTGACCTTATGACTGTATGAATGAGCCCAATTTCAATTCATGGTATCTAGCACTGAGTAGGGTGGAATTGACCACACCTCCAAAAGACCACCTACCTATACTAACATGAGCACATCCATTCTGCCTTTTATTACTACCACCACTGCCATGATTTTCAAATCGCTACATTGAAGACTGTGAATCAAAGATGACTTGACCCTTTTGAATCTCAGGATCAAGCCTGAGGGTATTTGATTCAACAATTTTATTTTTTTCCTACCTCGTTCTCTCACTATGGCTCACAGGTGGAAGTGATGGGCCTCCTGCAATGGCGTGCAAGGATTGAACTCCAAGTAAGGTGGTGTATAGAGATTGCTCTTAAGTAAATACCAGTGGTAAATTACCAGGCATCAAGGCAGATTAAATTTAACTTACAGATCTCTGATTTTAGTGGCTCAGGTCAGTAAGCTGAATCTCCATCTTGGTGCTTTTGACAGTGTACTGAGAAAACAAAACAGTGCCTCTCTCCTTGCACACATATGAGCTACCCATGGCACTGGAAAGGCAGAAGAATGGTATTTGCTGTATGGGTGCAGAAATCCTGGCCTGCAGAAGTCTGACTGGTTCAAAATAACTCCCAAACCTTGTTGGCCCATGCTTCACCATGATGGCCTCAAATGCTTATCTGTTTGATTCCGGTTAAAAAGTTATTAATGTATTGCATTTTACCAGGCCAGTTCTAGGTAAAGGTTTAAAAATCCATTCTAAATTACTCTGGGGCTCCTGAGATAACAGTGACTTTGCCAGTTTGAGTCACTGTTCTTACATTAATTCACAAAGAATATCTGTCAATCAATCGGTCCATCCTTCCTTCCATCCATCCATACATCTATCTATCTATCTATCTATCTATCTATCTATCTATCTATCTATCTATAGGATATTGAGAATGCCTAGAATTTCGCTTTCAAGATATAGTAACAGTGACCCTGGACACCTCCATCCTTCTCTCTGGGGGAAATGTGTTGGCTTGGCCTTGTAAGGCAAAGCAAACAGCAAGGTTTAATGCAAGTATTAATATTCCCTCCTTCTCATCCATATTGTCAGTATAGTATTTGTCAAGTTATCTACATACTTTAATAATAAAAAACAACATTTGAGAATCTTTTTAGTCTCTAAATGTTGAATACCTAGTCAGGGTGTTAGTAGTTAAGTGTTTTGAAGCTATCTCTTATTCTACATCCTGAACCCTACCATGGTCTCCCTCACCTTCTAATGCAATTTGTAGAACAAATGTTGGGAACTACAAGTCACATTTAATGCAAAATGTGTTTCTGGAATAATGACATATCAATGACTTCTTCAGCCTCTCCAAACATGTGACTGACAAAAGCCACTATTCAGGAAGGCTTTCTGCTGTGTTACACTTTAGAAGTAAGAAATAATACAGGAGGACAGCAGAACTGTTTCATTTCTGTTCAGAGAATAAAGGTATTTTTTAAGGTATTAAAAAAGAAAATTCCCTCCTTCTCAAAAAGATAAACTCATCCATGTGGGATGAAGACTTAATAAAAGAAAAGAAAGTGACAGGAACTACGAGCATACTTTCAAAACTAAGTGAATTTCAACATTTCCACTGGGTCCTTGTCACATCACATACCTTTGAAAGCTATCCCAGGTTTTCTAGTTATCTTGATACAGTGTGGGGACAATTTCTTGGGATAATGGAAGAGAACCAAGTTGAATGTCAGGAGATCTGAGTTCCAGCCTTGCCTTTACCACTAGCATGCTGTGCAGCCTCAGGTGGCCTCTTAATCTTTCTGGTTCTCAGATTCTGTGTATAATGTAAGAGTTGGGTTTTGGATTTGAAAAAAAAAAAAATCTCTTCTAACTTAAAGATTCTATAGTTTCATATTTTCTCCATTGTACATCAAACTTTGTTTTAATATTAATATATATATTAGTTACTGCCACAGATGAACAAGTGCTTCCTCCAAAAAGGACAGTGGAGGGAACGGGTTCAGGAATTCTGCAGTGAGTACCCAAGAGTGAGGCCAGCAGCCCTGTATGCAGCAGGAGCAGGTATGCTGCAGCTGTGAGGGCTGCTCGTGTGCACATCTGGAGCCAGTGATAGATACCATGCTTTTTATGTTATTTGTAAGATCAAGAGTACTTGGATAGCCACAAGTTGTTAATGATGTTGGGGTCAGATAATAATAATAGTTTGAAATTATTATTAAATATATAGACTCCTGGGTTTTTTGTTTGTTTGTTTTCTTGTTGTTGTTGTTTTGTTATCAGGGATTCAACCCAGGAGCACTTAACCACTGAGACACATCCTCAGCCCTTTTTATTTTTATTTCGAGATAGGATCTCATCAAGTTTCTTAAAGCCTTGCTGAATTGCTGATGCTGGCCTCAGACTTGTGATCCTCCTGCCTCAGCCTTCCTAGTCACTGGGATTACAGGCATGCACCATCGCATCCAGCTTAAATACATAGACTCTTAATTGTATAATGTATATCAAGTGGCCAATCCTGCTTTCAACAAATGACACCCATCCTGCATGCTGAGACCCACAGAAACTGCTCAGCCTCTTCCAGCATCACAGACTGGATGACCCAGTCCAAAGAGAAGGACAGGGATAGACTGATAAGTAGGGAGGCTCAGGTTTCCTGGAGAAATTTCATTAGGTGAATGGGGATAACTATAAGGCTTTTGGGGAAGAATTAGGGTGGTCTAGGATGATTCAGGAGGAATGGTTTAAGAGGTGGGAACTGGCCTTGCTGACTGTCAAGGAAAATGGGCCTCTAGACAGGCAGCCCTAGGGATTCAGAAATGGTCTAAATCTCGAACTGTAATCTTTTGAAAAACTCAAGGTCATCAGGTAAAAGATCAATTTCCTGGTTGTATTAAACTGTGATTAACATAATTTGTGTGTTTTGAGGAAACTTGAAATGGCAGCACCCTGAAAGAGGAGGCATATTTTCAAAAGAACAGAGATTTACAGATTCTGCAATATTATTAAATAGTTTCTGGGCATAAAAAATTCATGATATATATAATTACGTGTATGCAGTGAGTAAAAATGTGTGTTATTTGCATTTTTCAAGTAGTATACATTTAGTTGGGAAGTAAAACATACATGATATGAAATAATTTGAAAATATTAGTGAGTGGAGTATGTGTGTGTATGTGTTCTATGCTTATATGCATACAAAAATATTCCACATACTGTATATAGTATATAGTATACGACATAGATGACAACTTGAGTGCATACATTTTTTAAAAAAATCAGATTAATCACAAAGAGATTCCTGAGGGAAAAAACACCAGAGTCAAATTCCTAAGAAGGGAATGATTACACTGGTTGAGAACAAGGGCTCTGTATTTTGAAGGCACTATCTTTATCCATAATCACTGTTAACAGTATTGCTTAGCAAACATGTTGTCAGTGGCAGGCATTGGCCACATATTTTCCATGTTCTCATCTGATTTTCACAATAAGCCTGTGCTGGGTATACTCTCCATATTTCATTTGTTTGGCATTTTTGTTGTTGTGGTTGGTTTTGGGTCTTTTTTTTTTTAGATCAGGAAACTAAGGCTCTGTGCATTCACACAGATAGCCAGCAGCAAAATTCAAATTCACACTCTGTTCTGCTGGGACTAACCAGTGCCTTGTCCTGAAGCAGGAAGACAGGCTATCTGGGAGAGTCGCAGGTGGACAAGTCCAAGTGCAGGTGTAGTTGGCATCCAGCCTCAAGCAGGAACTGAGTGTTAACCCAACAGGCGATGGAGACACATTATAGGTGTTCTGAGGACTGCACTTGATGCCTGTTTGACAAGCTGTGTGTAGCACTAAGTAACATGGGAGAACCACAGTCTGTGCCTATTTGGTTAATGGCAGTGGGACATATATAGGAAGCTGTGATTTGTTGAGACATTTGGATAAAAAGTAAGAACTAAAAGTCATGCTAGATGTAGGGAGTCCAGAAGAGAAAGAAAGGAAGGCTTTGATTCCCAAGGATGCTATTGGACAGCTGGACAGTGGAATTATGGTCATCTGAGACTAAAGAGTATAAGGAACTGAGTTCCTCTGGAGCATAAGTGAAGAATTCTTGAGGAGCAAAATAAAGAAAAGTAGAATCATCAGGAGTTTCTGGAAATAGAGGTATTTTTTCAAATTTCAGGGATATTGGTTTTGAAAGATCTCTCTCTCTCTCTCTCTCTCTCTCTCTCTCTCTCTCTCTCTCTCT